TTGGAAAGCTGAATATTCAGAAAAGTCAAAATTTGAAAAATCAAAAATATTGAACTGAAAACTCTAAAAATCGAAAATTTAAAACATTAAAAAATTAAAATATCGTAAAATTGAAAAATGGACAAATCGAAGCATCGAAAAAATAAAAAAAATTAAATTCGCAAATCTAAAATTTGAAAATCACAAAACTGAAAAATCAACAAATCAAGAAAACGAAACTCGAAAAGTTAAAAAATTGGAAAATTGGAAAATCGGGTAATTCAAAAATCGCGACATCGAAAAATTGAAAAGCCCAAAAGTAAAAAATCGGAAAACTGAGAAATCCAAACAACGAAACATTTAAAACTTGAGACATCGAGAAATCTAAAAATAGAGGGGCGGAAAGCCGAGAAGAAAATTTAAAAAATTGATAAATCGAAAAATTAAAAAATTGATAAATCGAAAATTTTTAAACAAGACAAATTAGAAAATTTAAAAATTCGGAAAATTGAAATATAGAAGAACTGAAAACTCGAGAAATCGAAAAACCTAGAATTTTAAAAATTGAAAAATTAAAACATCGAAAAATTGGAAAATCGAAAAATTGAAAAGCCCAAAAGTAAAAAATCGAAAAACTAAGAAATCTAAAAATCGAAACCACGAAAAAGTCAAAAATTGAGACATCGAGAAATCGAAAAATTGAAATATCGAAAAATTTTAAAAAAGAAAAATTGGAAAAATCGAAAATTTAAAAATTCGGAAAATTAAAATATAGAAGAACTGAAAACTTAAGAAATCGAAAAACCAAAAAAAAAAAGTGACAAATTAAAACATCGAAAAGTTGAAAAATTAAGAAATCGAAGTATAAAACAGTCGAAAAATTGAAATATCTAAGGTTTAACGAAAAATTGAAAATCCAAAAAGTAAAAAGTCGAGAAATCGAAAAATCCAAAACCCGAAAAATCGAAAATTCGAAGTACTAAAAAATTCCAAAACATGAATATTGAAAAATTGAAAAATAGAACAAAAATTGAAGAACGAAAAACTGAAAAACCACAAAATTGAAGGAAATTTCCAAAATTGGGAAATTAAAGAATTGAAAAATTGACAAATCAAAAACCTGAAAAATCTAAACCTTGAGAAGTCGAGAAATGGGAAAATCAAAAAATAGATTAATTGAGAAATCGGAAAGCTGAAAATTCAGAAAATTCAAAATTTGAAAAATTAAAAAATATTGAACTGAAAACTCTAAAAATCGAAAATTTAAAATATCGTAAAATTGAAAAATAGACAAATCGGAGCTTCGAAAAAATAAAAAAAATTAAAATTCGCAAATCTAAAATTTGAAAATCGAAAAACTGAAAAATCAACAAATCAAGAAAACGAAACTCGAAAAGTTAAAAAATTGGAAAATTGGAAAATCGGTAATTCAAAAATCGAAACATCGAAAAATTGAAAAGCATTAAAATTAAAAAAACGAAAAATTTAAAACTTGAGACATCGAGAAATCTAAAAATAGAGGGGTGGAAAGCCGAGAAGAAAATTTAAAAAATTGGAAAATTGATAAATCGAGAAATTAAAAAAATGAAAAATCGAAAATTTTTAAACAAGACAAATTTGAAAATTTAAAAATTCGGAAAATTGAAATATAGAAGAACTGAAAACTCGAGAAATCGAAAAACCAAGAATTTTAAAAATTGAAAAATTAAAACATCGAAAAATTGGAAAATCGAAAAATTGAAAAGCCTAAAAGTAAAAAATCGAAAAACTAAGAAATCTAAAAAAAAACACGAAAAAGTCAAAAATTGAGACATCGGGAAATCGAAAAATTGAAATATCGAAAAATTTTAAAAAAGAAAAATTGGAAAAATCGAAAATTTAAAAATTCGGAAAATTAAAATATAGAACTGAAAACTCAAGAAATCGAAAAACCAAAAATTTTAAAATTGAGAAATTAAAACATCGAAAAGTTGAAAAATTAAGAAATCGAAGTATAAAACAGTCGAAAAATTGAAATATCCAAGGTTTAACGAAAAATTGAAAATCTCAAAAATTAAAAAGTAGAGAAATCGAAAATTCCAAAACATAAATATTGAATAATTGAAAAATAGAACAAAAATTGAAAAATCGAAAAACTGAAAAACCACAAAATTGAACGAAATTTCCAAAATTGGGAAATTAAAGAATTGAAAAATTGACAAATCGAAAAGTCAAAAAAGCAAAGTCGAAAAATGGAAAAATCAAAAACCTGAAAAATCGAAACCTTGGGAAGTCGAGAAATGGGAAAATAAAAAATAGATTAATTTGAGAGATCGGAAAGCTGAAAATTCAGAAACGTCAAAATTTGAAAAATTAAAAAATATTAAAGAACTGAAAACTCAAGAAATCGAAAACCTAAAACCTAAAATTTTAAAAATTGAAATGTTGAAAAATTGAGGAATCTAAGTATAAAACAGTCGAAAAACTGAAAATTCTAAGGTTTAACGAAAGATTGAAAATCCAAAGGTAAAATGTCGAGAAATCGAAAAATCCAAAATCCGAAAAATCGAAAAGTCGAAGTACCAAAAAATTCCAAAACATGAATATTGAAAAATTGAAAAATGGAACAAAAATTGAAGAATCGAAAAAGTGAAAAACCACAAAATTGGACGAAATTTGCAAAATTGGGAAATTAAAGAAGTGAAAAATTGACAAATCGAAAAGTCAAAAAAGCACAGTCGAAAAATTGAAAAATCGAAACCTTGGAAAGTCGAGAAATGGGAAAATCAAAAAATATATTAACTGAGAAATCGGAAAGCTGCTAATTCAGAAACGTTAAAATTTGAAAAATTAAAAATCCGATTTTTGAATTTTCCATTTTCTTTAATTTTTAAATTTCGATTTCTCGATTTGTTGATTTTTCAGTTTTTCAATTTTTAAATTTTACGTTTTTGAATTTTTATATTTTTGATTTTTTGATGTTTGGATTACTCCATTTTTCAATTTTACGATAGTTTAATTCATCGATGTTTTAAATTTTAGTTTTTTCGTATTTCATTTCTTCAATATTTTTTAATTTTTCGAACTTTTCTTTTTCACTGAATTTTCAGTTTTCCGATTTCTCAATTATTCTAATTTTTAATTTTCCCATTTCTCGACTTCCCAAAGTTTTCGATTTTTGAGGTTTTCGATTTTTCATTTAAGTTTGCGATTTTTTGACTTTTCGATTTCCCAATTTTTTAATTTCCCAATTTTTGGGTATTTCGTTCAATTTTGTGATTTTTCAGTTTTTCAATTCTTCAATTTTTCGATATTTCAGTTTTGAAAATTTTTAGTATTTCGACTTTTGGATTTTTTGTCAATTACTGGATTTTCAGTTTTTCCATTACTCAGTTTTTGGGTATTTCAGTTTTGGGATGTCTTAGCTCTTCAATTTCTTGATTTTTGAAATTTTCGATTTTTTTTTTCAATTTTATGATATTTCAGTTTTACGAATTGTCAATTTATTGGATCTTCATTTTTGCGATGTTTCAATTTTTTCAATTTTGGCGTTTCTAAGTTTTCGATTTTTCAATTTCTGGGTTCATTTTATTGATTTTTCAATTTTTTACTTGATTAATTTCAGTTTTGGGATTTTTCAGTATTTCCATTGTTCGATTTTTTTACTTTTCGATTTTTCAATTTTTCACTCCATTTTTCAGTTTTTCGATATTTTAATTTCTATTTTTTTTTTATTTATAGATTTTTATATTTCACAATTTTCCAATTTTTCTTTTGTTCATATTTCCAGTTCGACTTTTTCGACTTCTCGGTTTTCAGTTGTTCAATTTTTAGATTTTGTTTCTATTTACAGTTTTTGATTTTTCAATTTTTTGATTTCTTAAATTTTGCAATTTTCATTCTTTCAATTTTTTAATTTTTCAAATTTTTGATAACTTGACATCACAACGTCTCAGTTTTTACTTTTTTTTTTGTCTTTTCGGATTTCGATTTTTCGGGTTTTCGATTTTTCAATTTTTAAAATGTTTAATTTTTCGATTTGCCAATTTTTCGTTTGTTCAATTTTTCAATTTTCTTGATTTCTCAATTTTTTGATATCTCTTTCAGTTTTTCGATTATGCAATATTTCGATTTTACGACTTTTCGATTTTTCGATTTCTAGATTTTTCGATATTTTAATTTTTCAATTGTTAAAATTCTGAATTTTTCGATTGCTCGAATTTTCAGTTCTTCTATTTTTCAGTTTTCCGAATTTTAAAAAATTCGATTTTTCAATTTTTGAGATCTCAATTTGTTGAGATTCGGATGTTTTGTGTTTTGATTGTCAAAAAAATTAACGGTAAACGGTATTTAAATTTTAAAAATAACAAATTCCTGCACTTGTGGTTTATGAATCCGAAAGCCGAAAAATCGTAAACTTAAAAAAATAGAAAAACTGAAAAATCGAAAAACCTTGACGTCTAAGGTAAAAGCTCAACACGGTTTCATAAAACCATAAATGGAGGATATAAATTAAATTAAAATGTTCAAGAACTGAGAAATCGCTTAGAGTCGATATTGGCCTGCGTGCGCTCTGGTCTGTAAATCATACAAGTTCTCAGGCGACGAAATGTTTTTAGGTGATTGCTTCAGCTTTGCGACTGATGGAAAACAAATTAGAGATAACAGCGTGGAAATTGTTTAACATCGACAATACTTTGCTTTTCTCAGTTAATATATACTTATATTTTTTTAGTAGAAGAGTAAACGAATGTCATTTTTCAGTTTTGCGGCGCTGTCTTCACTTATCTCTTCATAATGCTCCAGTTAGATAACAATGCCACTACAAACACTCCAGCGCCCAAAACCAACACATCCTCGTTATCAAATTAAGCATAATTTCGAAGTCTCGATCCGTAGTGCTAACGATATTGTGACCTTTCATTGTGCGTGATCAAAACAATGTGTTGACTTGTTTATTAATAACAATAATTATTGTGGTTGGACTATGATTAATGTTAATGGTTTGTCCCATAATCATGATGATTATATAAAGTGCTTACCTGCAAATATCCGCTGGATGTTTAGAAGCAGCAGGAAAGAAGCGAGTGCTATGCGTACGTCCGCCATTCAGGTGTCGTGGCTCTGAAAATAAGCACATTATTCAGATTTATTCAACTCTAAAACAACAAAAAAAAAAAGATCCTACTACTTTAAAGACTTTGATATTAATCTTCCATCTCGAGTGGAATGTGACGAGTCTTCATCGAAAGTTGGTCAACATGATGGTGGAAGACCGAAACAGTTCAATCAGAACCAAATATGTCGTGCGAGACCGTACTTTACGACAATTAACAAACTGCACCGTTTGACTTAAATTATAACAGTTGAAGTAATCTCAGTTTACCGTTTTAAGCCATCATTTTGATACTCGTAGAAGGATTTAGAGTTATTACAAAATTTTGAGAATTACATTCAAACCTTGCTTGAAAATCAGTAAAAGCAAATTTTGTTGCTCTTATTGAGTCATCTCGTCATCGTATGTCAGTTCGTTGTTCTAAAATATGTAATTTGTAGGCAAATCACACCATAATTTGCTGCTCGGACTTTAAATAGACGTTTCTAAGACGATGGACGAAATGTGGTGGGTCGAGAAAACTACGTTTGCATACTTTTAATGTGGTATTTTCGCCTGCCACAATCACAATATTCTCAACCTTTTGAATTTTAAATTTGTATATTGTTAGTTTTGCTCCAACAAGTTAAAAATGTTTGCTTGTTTGGTTCAATGGAGTTCCAGTTGGACCAACACTGCAAGTCATACGGAGGAAAAAAACCCTTCAACAATTAGTTCGGCAATTAATTTTAAATGGGAGTAAAAGTTGTCCCAAGGATAATTTTTCAAGAAATTTATGTAATCTGGTCATTGAATTGTACGTTCTCATAACTATATAAATTGGGCTTGTCTGTAATTCAGATGAAGATGAAATCAAATTTTTCCAGAATCGATAAAACTAAAAACGACGATATTTAAAAAATTTCATTTTTAAAACGCATTTTTCGTAAATCTTGGTCCAGAACCATTGAAACCTTGTGCTTGTCGAATCAGCTCGTTGAGATCCGTATCCCACAATTTCTTGGTAATTTTTAGGAAACTTTTCAAGAATCCCAATTTTTTAGTATGAAATTTTTGACTGTTTTTCAAGCACGTTTCAAAAATCACCGAAAGAGATTTTCTTCTGAATTTCGACTTTCAGAAGTTATTTTCAACTTTATTTCTTCGAATATTTTGTTTCCAGAATCTATAAAAAAATAAAAAAATATTTTTGAACCGAATTTTTCGAAAATCTTGGTTCAGGACCATTAACACTTTACGTTTTTCGAATTAGCTCATTGAGGTGTATATCCCACAATTTTTTGACAATCTTTAGGCAACTTTTCAAAATTTTCAATTTTTCAGGATGAATTTTTTGACTGATATTCGAGCACTCTTCGAAAATCACACAAGAGATTTACTTGTAGATTTTGACTTACGAAAATTATTTTCACTTTATTTCTTCGAATATTTTGTTTCCAGAATCTATAAAAAAATTAAAAATCATTTTTCAACCGAATTTTTCGAAAATCTTGGTTCAGGACCATTAACACTTTACGTTTTTCGAATTAGCTCATTGAGGTGTATATCCCACAATTTTTTGACAATCTTTAGGCAACTTTTCAAAATTTTCAATTTTTCAGGATGAATTTTTTGACTGATATTCGAGCACTCTTCGAAAATCACACAAGAGATTTACTTGTAGATTTTGACTTACGAAAATTATTTTCACTTTATTTCTTCGAATATTTTGTTTCCAGAATCTATAAAAAAATTAAAAATCATTTTTCAACCGAATTTTTCGAAAATCTTGGTTCAGGACCATTAACACTTTACGTTTTTCGAATTAGCTCATTGAGGTGTATATCCCACAATTTTTTGACAATTTTTAGGCAACTTTTCAAAATTTTCAATTTTTCAGGTTGAATTTTTTGACTGATATTCGAGCACTCTTCGAAAATCACACAAGAGGTTTACTTGTAGATTTTGACTTACGAAAATTATTTTCAACTTTATTTCTTCGAATATTTTGTTTCCAGAATTTATAAAAAAATAAAAAATCATTTTTGAACCGAATTTTTCGAAAATCTTGGTTCAGGACCATTAACACTTTATGTTTTTCGAATTAGCTCATCGAGGTGTATATCCCACAATTTTTTGAGAATTTTTAGGCAACTTTTCAAAATTTTCAATTTTTCGGTATGAATTTTTTGACTGATATTCGAGCACTCTTCGAAAATCAGACAAAAGATTTACTTGTAGATTTTGACTTACGAAAATCATTTTCAACACTATTTCTTCAAATATTTTGTTTCCAGAATCTATAAAAAAATAAAAAATCATTTTTGAACCGAATTTTTCGAAAATCTTGGTTCAGGACCATTAACACTTAATGTTTTTCGAATTGGCTCATCGAGGTGTATGTCCCACAATTTTTTGAGAAATTTTAGGCAACTTTTCAAAATTTTCAATTTTTCAGTATGAATTTTTTGACTGATATTTGGGCACTCTTCGAAAATCACACAAGAGATTTACTTGTAGATTTTGACTTTCGAAAATTATTTTCGACTTTATTTCTTCGAATATTTTGTTTCCAGAATCTATAAAAAAATAAAAAATCATTTTTGAACCGAATTTTTCGAAAATCTTGGTTCAGGACCATTAACACTTTATGTTTTTCGAATTAGCTTATCGAGGTGTATGTCCCACAATTTTTTGACAATTTTTAGGCAACTTTTCAAAATTTTCAATTTTTCAGTATGAATTTTTTGACTGATATTCGAGTACTCTTCGAAAATCACACAAGAGATTTACTTGTAGATTTTGACTTACGAAAATTATTTTCAACTTTATTTCTTCGAATATTTTGTTTCCAGAATCTATAAAAAACTAAAAAATCATTTTTGAACCGAATTTTTCGAAAATCTTGGTTCAGGGCCATTAACACTTTATGTTTTTCGAATTAGTTCATCGAGGTGTATGTCCCACAATTTTTGACAATTTTTAGGCAACTTTTCAAAATTTTCAAATTTTCAGTATGAATTTTTTGACTGATATTCGAGCACTCTTCGAAAATCACACAAGAGATGTACTTGTAGATTTTGACTTACGAAAATTATTTTCAACTTTATTTCTTCGAATATTTTGTTTCCAGAATCTATAAAAAAATAAAAAATCATTTTTAACCGAATTTTTCGAAAATCTTGGTTCATGCCCATTAACACTTTATGTTTTTCGAATTAGCTCATCGACGTGTATGTCCCACAATTTTTTGAGAATTTTTAGGCAGCTTTTCAAAATTTTCAATTTTTCAGTATGAATTTTTTGACTGATATTCGAGCACTCTTCGAAAATCACACAAGAGATTTACTTGTAGATTTTGACTTACGAAAATTATTTTCGACTTGATTTCTCGAATATTTTGTTTCCAGAATCTATAAAAAAATAAAAAAATATTTTTGAACCGAATTTTTCGAAAATCTTGGTTCAGGACCATTAACATTTTATGTTTTTCGAATTAGCTCATCGAGGTGTATGTCCCACAATTTTTTGAGAATTTTTAGGCAACTTTTGAAAATTTTCAATTTTTCAGTATGAATTTTTTGACTGATATTTGGGCACTCTTCGAAAATCACACAAGAGATTTACTTGTAGATTTTGACTTTCGAAAATTATTTTCGACTTTATTTCTTCGAATATTTTGTTTCCAGAATCTATAAAAAAATAAAAAATCATTTTTGAACCAAATTTTTCGAAACTCTTGGTTCAGGACCATTAACACTTTATGTTTTTCGAATTGGCTTATCGAGGTGTATGTCCCACAATTTTTTGAGAATTTTTAGGCATCTTTCCAAAATTTTCAGTTTTTCAGTATGAATTTTTTGACTGATATTCGAGCACTCTTCGAAAATCACACAAGAGATTTACTTGTAGATTTTGACTTACGAAAATTATTTTCAACTTTATTTCTTCGAATATTTTGTTTCCAGAATCTATAAAAAAAAAAATATTTTCGAACCGAATTTTTCGAAAATCTTGGTTCAGGACCATTAACATTTTATGTTTTTCGAATTAGCTCATCGATGTGTATGTCCCACAATTTTTTGAGAATTTTTAGGCAACTTTTGAAAATTTTCAATTTTTCAGTATGAATTTTTTGACTGATATTTGGGCACTCTTCGAAAATCACACAAGAGATTTACTTGTAGATTTTGACTTTCGAAAATTATTTTCGACTTTATTTCTTCGAATATTTTGTTTCCAGAATCTATAAAAAAATAAAAAATCATTTTTGAACCAAATTTTTCGAAACTCTTGGTTCAGGACCATTAACACTTTATGTTTTTCGAATTGGCTCATCGAGGTGTATGTCCAACAATTTTTTGAGAAATTTTAGGCAACTTTTCAAAATTTTCAATTTTTCAGTATGAATTTTTTGACTGATATTTGGGCACTCTTCGAAAATCACACAAGAGATTTACTTGTGGATTTTGACTTACGAAAATTATTTTCGACTTTATTTCTTCGAATATTTAGTTTCCAGAATCTATAAAAATATAAAAAATAATTTTTGAACCGAATTTTTCGAAAATCTTGGTTCAGGACCATTAACACTTTATGCTTTTTGAATTGGCTCATCGAGGTGTATGTCCCACAATTTTTTGACAATTTTTAGACAACTTTTCAAAATTTTCAATTTTTCAGTATGAATTTTTTGACTGATATTCGAGCACTCTTCGAAAATCACACAAGAGATTTACTTGTAGATTTTGACTTACGAAAATTATTTTCAACTTTATTTCTTCGAATATTTTGTTTCCAGAATCTATAAAAAAATTAAAAATCAATTTTGAACCGAATTTTTCGAAAATCTTGGTTCAGGACCATTAACACTTTATGTTTTTCGAATTAGCTCATCGAGCTTTCCACAATTTTTCGAGAATTTTTAGGCAACTTTTCAAAATTTTCAATTTTTCAGTATGAATTTTTTGACTGATATTCGAGCACTCTTCGAAAATCACACAAGAGATTTACTTGTAGATTTTGACTT